CTTATTCTTCATCATCCTTTTTCTTGTCGTCTTCTTTACTTTTATCATCCTCTTTACTCTTATTATCCTTTTTATTCTTATCATTCTCTTTACTCTTATCATCCTCTTTACTCTTATCATCCAATTTACTCTTATCATCCTCTTTACTCTTATCATCCTCTTTACTCTTATCATCATCTTTACCTTTATCATTCTTATTTTTATCATCATCTGTTTTATCATCTTTAGATTCAATAACTTTAATATTGACTTCTTGATCTTTATCTTCATTATTATCTTCTTTCTTATTTTTATTTTTTGAAAACTCTCCTGGATGGCCTTCCAGTTTAATTTCTTTACACTTGCTATAAATTCTCAAGCCTAATTATAAATCCTATTTTTCTTCATTCTTCTTATTGGTACCTTCTTTATCCTTCTCCTTCTTCTCATCATCATCAGAATCTGACTCATAATTATCCTTATAGAGCCTTTTAGCATGTTTTTCTTTACATTTTTTAGTTTCTTCGTCCTCTTTATAATCAGTTGTTTTGCCTGTATCTGAATCAGGAGTGGTAATTTTACGATTTATACATGGAATAATTTCATAATTACCAGCCTGAAGAGTAGTTTCAAGGTTGACACTATGGGGAGCTAATAGAACAGATAAACGGCTACGAATTAAATAGCTTGATTTACCATCTTTATAAACACAGAAACTTAAACGATATCTTTAAAAAAATAAAGATATTATGCCAATTCAGTTAAAAAAAAATAAAATAAAATAAAAATAAAAATAACAATATTATTAAAATAGTATTATTAAATCACAAAGATAAGTATAAACATTAATACATATAGGAAAAATATTTATATATAATTAGGTTTATCGGGTTTGGGTCCCATAGCTTAGTGGTTAAGCTCCCAACCCCCTACAGACTAGGTCAACGGTTCGAGTTAGGCTGGAGGCAAATTTTAATAAAATTTGCTTCTGTAACCTATGAGAGCCATAAAATTGAATGCGAAGCCCTGTGGAAGTTCAAGTGCAATACGAAACCAGAATAAGGAATTCCCAGAAGGAGACCAGGTTATGGAATGTAGGCATTACATGTGACAGCGGCATCACAGAAAGTTAGGTTATACAGAAGATTACACAAATTAGTTCTCCAGTTGGGTGACCTGGAGGCAGTACCAACATCCCTGCATCCAACTTGTGGAGTACTTGCTTGGAAAGGTGATACGAAGGTAGCCAAAACTGAAGTAGTAAGTAAAGCGGTGATACATGACTATGGGCTGTGATAAAGGATCATACTTTAACTGGAATTGGAAGCACCTCTGGCTCTGCAGAACAACCTACTATAGAAGGTTACTCGACGTAGAAGGCGTACCTATCCCTATACGATTAAATGTATCAAATTGGAGCTCTGATTACATATATAGAAGTTTATAACAAAATGAGTTAAGGATTTACCAGTATGAATGCTGCACCAACCAGGGTTGAGATACCCCAAGTTAGAAGTTGTACAAATATGTACAACGAAGGCCAATGGCTGGAAGTATATCGGTTACCGTATATGAAACAAGTTCTTAACGAATACTATAAAAGGAAGTACAAAGGGGATAGAAAAGTACACAAATATATGAAAGACCAAAAAAGGGATGATAAAAGACCTGTGGATAGCAAACCGGCAGCGGCAGCAGGGCCCTGACTTGAGATATGGGTTAGTAGTACCTGGGCAAATGAGTGAGAGGACTAGGCATTCATAGAAATGAAGAAATGCAAACCGGTGTAACTCAATCAGCGCAAACACAAGATAAGTCCTAATCCATCAGATAGTACCAACTTTGTCATGTGGTGAACCTAACTAGGCAGCAGGGACCTGGCTTGAGATACGTGCACAAGAGGCTCTCGGCAGGCACACCAATCTGGGAGGCCTTTAGGGACCGATTACCCGAATGAACCAAATTGGGAGTTACTGAGGTTTGATTGTAGGTTATGGGGGAATATGGTTGTGTAACTAGAATTAGTTAGTTGTGATGCACAAAAACCAGGTAATACAGAGGTGGGATACGGAATACTCTGGTAGGTTTAAATACAGATAAAGTAGTTTGAGCCCTGTATTTGAAAATTAGTTCAGTTAGTAGGTGCATAAGTAAGCAACAAGGTTGTATAGTAGTGTACAAACTTAAGAATTAATAAAGATACAAGAAGCATGTCCTCACCTTAACACCGAAAAAAAAAAATTAGATTTATCACTAAAATACCTATCATCAAGTTGTTGAAGTACTATAACTAAATCACATTTCTCAGGTAAATACAAAGTAAATTTTCCTTTAGATTTTGATATAACATTATACCAATACGATCACATTGAATGCGTAACATGAAATGTATAAGAAAAGTGTTTCTGTTCAACTTTTTTGATGTTTGCTATGCTAATTTTTGCAAAATTCTTTTTTGGTATAAGTGATGGTTTTCATTTTTCTAATTATAGTAGAAATATAATACAGTACATATTATGTGTCAATACATAATTCAAGTCATGCTAGTGTAAGAAGAAATACAGTATAACTGATTATGTTAAATACAATATTATACAACAAAAATACAATATGCTGTGTGATTGTGTAAAAAAAATATATCTCTGGTACGTTAAATGAATTACATTAATAAGTTTAACTCAATTCTGGGTTAGTGCTCTTTGACGTTTTTGATTGGTCATATTTTAAAAACGTGACCTGAATGTGAGAAAACTTACAAATATATACAAATAGGTAAGTAATTATTACGACATTTCTGTGATCATCTGCAATTATTACATCATTTGCATTAATGTTGTCATGAATTGATCATTAATAATATTCAAGACATTTGTATAAATGTCATCACCTACTTATGGTTTTTAAAATCAACTTACGATATTTGATTGACTAGGTATAAGCAGTGTTGTTATGCAGACACGGACACAGACATGAACTGGACATCCGTGTTCATGTTTAAAGATAAAAATATCTAACGAATATTGTCTGTAGATCGACCAATTAAATGTTTGGACATTGGACAATGTCCACGATAATCACGATAATACAACCTTTCTAAATGCACGTTTTATGAAATACATCCAACTAATATTATGTTTACAGATTTTTGCCACCCTAAATTTTAAGTGCGTATTGGCTAATTCTTACATATGGTCTATTCGCATTGTAATTAGAGAGGTCTGGTTGTATTTTTATTGCACGTTTTACTACTATTTACTAACAACCTATGTTTACAAAACCCATTATACAGTTACAGCAGTGTTTGCAGAAATGTTCTTATATTTAAAAATAGTATAAAGAATATTTAAAATAAACTATTATGGATCTAAGTTATTCACATTAAATAGTCAGTAAGTATAAAAATTTATTTCAATTATGAATAATAGTGAGTATTATACTGAACGTGCAGCAAATAAAACTTTGTATCATACGTGCAATTCTAATATAACAACTTAAGTAGGCTCAAAACAATAACAATGTTCCTGATTCTATAATATGAGTGCTGCCAAGGGAAAAGTGCATCTCCGTTTTTAATCAATTATTGAATCAATAATTGATTAAAAAATGGAGGTGCTTTTTTCTCTTGGCAGCGCTCATATTTTAATAGTAGATTTTTTTACAAAATTCTTTATTAAAAAATAATTAAACTATTTTTAGATATTTTAGATTTAGACAACCTTATAATTGGTATAGATATAAGCAATAGTATGCAATCTACACCTTAGATCTAAGATTGTCTAAAGCTAAAGAATGATAAAAATAGATCAGAATGAGCCTTACCTTATTTTGCACAGAAAGTTTTATCAAAAGTTTATACCAGCCGATGGTTTACCAAATGCTCATTTAGCCGACATTACATAGGGTTAGGGTTAAGCATTTGATTAGTTGCAGATATGTATTTTTACTAAATTTCACCTGGCGTAATATCGGCTAAATGAGCTGTTAGTGAAGTGATTGTTGGTGAAATAATATGGACCCCTTATTGGATATATCAGCTGGACAAAGATTTTTTGGTAGTCATCAACTTGATTATGAGCCTGCAGTAAAGAGTGCAAATTAAATTTTCCTCTGAGACTTTGAATTTGCCAGTGCTTATTTCACAACAATCATTTCAGCAATAGTTCATTTAGCTGAAATCATATATGATTAGGGTTACTATTTAGGTAAATTGTTATTTGGCATGATGTAGGCTAAATGAGCTGTTAGTAAAATGATTGTTAATGAAATGATCATTGATGAAGTAAGGTGAAGCCATGAATTTTTCTTTATCTTGAATTAACTAAGTAATGTGTAGATTCTGATTCACCAAAATAACTTAATATTCAGAGTGTTAATAATAAAATTTAAAAGGAATTTTTTATCTTACTAGTATATTCTAATTTTCATATACTAGCAAAATTACTAGCACTTAACGGATATTGTGCAATTAAAAAAAAAATAATAGTCAAACTAAATTAACAAGAAAACAATAAATAAATAGATAAATTAATTAAAAAACTAAAAAATAAATTAAATTTAAAAAAAATACTATAAATTGCAAAAATGAATTTAAAAAAATATATAAAAAATAAAAATGAAATAAGTTAATAAAAAATAAATAAATAAATTAGCATTATACAGCAAAAAAAAAATTAATTAATTAAAAAAAATTACTTTCACCTGGACTAGTTATAGTGATCGAAAGTAATATAGTTAGCCAGATCTTGCATATACATATATACATATGTTCTGTAGGGACATTGCAGACCAATCAAATATTTGAATATTGGACAATGTCCGGCAGACATTGTCTGGTGTCTGCCATATATCTGCAGACAATGTCTGGTGACAATCTGTAAGTTTGGACACGTGTGCAGACGTAAACATTGGACAGTGTCCAAATATGTCTGTGTCCAGGAAATATGCGCGAACAGTGTCTGTGTACATCACTGGATATAAAAACGTTAACATTAAGATTAATAAAATGCATTAGTAAACTACATCCTGTATACCGGAATAATAAGAGTTGTAACATAATTTTTACAATAATTAATAACAGAATTTTCACAGTAACTCAACTTGCTACTAAAATAATGGTTTGTATAGAATTTTTTGCAATAAAAATTATGATTGTGTTTTACATTAATAAGCACAAAACTCACAAAAAACTTTAACTGCATATTATATTTCACTGTAATAGTGGTAAATATTGCAATAGAATTTTTCATGATCATTTATAATTATTTTAATATGAACTAATTCGATCTTAATCACTGAAATAATAAGTGTTTTGTAACAGTATGCTTTATGGTAATAATTTAGCATACTATGTATACTAGAATAGTAAGTAGGTTTTGTAATAGACTTTTTTACAGTAATACCAATACAAGCTAATTCAACTTCACATTCTATGATCTCTGGGATAGCGAGCGAGATCCGTAACAATTTTTTGCATTAGCTAATAGTAGAAATTATAGTTGCTTTCAAAATAGCTGTCCTGCCTTATTTTAGTATATCAAGATGCATTGAATATATCCTGGATTTGCATAAGGGAGCCTCTTCTTGCTTTGAAAAAAGTATAATTTTTAATTATATTCTATTAGGAAATTTATTTTTATTTAAAATATAGAAAGATACTCTTATACAAATTTGGTCTACAATCAATGCATTCTGAGCACTAA